AAGTGCTGTTCGGCTCCTCTCGTCACACGATTGCGGATCTATTCCTTCGTTGAGAAGCCTTTCAACGCATTCCAAGTCATTAGAATTGGCGGCTCTTCTCAACAGTCGTTCCCCTGTTTTCACAAATTATAATTCAATAATCAATAAAACAACACATGATATGTCTGTTTGTGGTCCACACCTGCCATGTCTTTAGACATATGTTTTCTCTTCATTTCGTGAGTCTTTTGTCGAATTGATTTCATTTTGGGACAAAACTCGTGCTGTTCTTCACTCTTGTAGTGGTAATCATTCGGTACACCAATCAAATCGGTGTCCGGTTTTGTCTCAAAGTTATGGTCCAACCGATTGTCAAACGCATTGAACAGTCGGTTAGACCCGGAAGTAGAGGTCGAACACAGACTATCGTAATGGCAGTGAGAACTACTCGACGGCAAAGACATCAACGATTGAGAGACAGAGGAGGAGGTGGTGGCCATCGAGACCATGGATGCCATGGAAGAGGTGGGCATTGAATACATTCGGCTTTCGCAACAGTTTTGCTCGAAATCCTATTTTCGGTGACAAATGAGTGGTCAATGAATGTCTTCAATGCAATCAAACTATACATACATTTTGAGGACAATTATCGGCGGAATCGTTGGCATTGTTTCCGTTGTTATTATCAATGACTGGATTAATGTTGACATCAATGACAACGATGTCTTCATTATCGTTATTATTGTTGTTGAGGTTGTGGTTGAAGTCGTTATCCCTGTCGTAGTCGCTGTCAGAAGAGGCCAAAGACATACCAATGCTGTCGTCGGAGGCATTACTGCCGGCGTCGACACCCGAGTCCTCGCCAGACATCACACCATCGGTGAAGACATCACCACTTGTTGTGAGCCATCAGTCGATGCATTCAATCGTTGTTTACATTCAAAACCAATTGATGTCTCGTTTTTGTGGTAAATATTGTCGTAATTGTTGTCATATATTGTCTTAAAAACAATACAACAAAACTTTTTTTTTAACAACTCATCATATGATTTGGATTCGTGTCTTGTATTTGGGATCTAATTGAGTGATTGAAGCGATGTCTTCGGGAGCGGACAGACGTGTCTGTGTTGTGGTGTTGGGAGACATCGGAAGAAGTCCTCGAATGCAATACCACTCCATCTCTCTCTCCAATCACTTTGCGGTCGATTTGATTGGATTTGAAGGTTCGCGAAGATTGCCATTAGTTTGTCATAATTGTCACTAATATTGCATCTCATGTTTTAATTGTCTTAAGGATCAAAACCACATGAATTGGTTGTGAATAACGATAGGATTTCGTGTCATTTTATGAGACAAACGCCGGAATGTATTTATGGTATAAACAAATTCTGGATTCAATTCCTCGACTTTTAATTACTTTTTAATTTAATGTCAAAATTAGTTTTGCCGTCAATTCTGGTCTACTTTCTGAAAGTTTTGTGGCAATCGTTTGTACTTTTCTTTTGGTTGATTTCGTTGCCAAAACATAACTATATTTTAGTTCAGGTGTTGTCTAACCATATGTTATCTTCAATTGAATTAAGTGCTAATAAATGTGATTAAACATGTGATGATCAGAACCCGCCTTCTCTGCCGACTTTAGCCATTGTGTGGATTGTATGCCGACTCAGAGGATCAGTATTTGTGATCGATTGGCATAACTATGGCTTTACAATACTTGGGTTAACTCTCGGCGTGAATCACATTTTGGTCAAGATTTGCAAATGGTTTGAGACTTATTTTGGCACTAAATCTGATTTCAATTTTTGTGTCACAAATGCCATGAAAAAGGATTTGAAGGATAGATTCAATATTAGGTTTGAATTATATTGTATTTCAATTTTAATATGACTAACAAATTATTATACATTTAGCGCAACCGTTCTCTACGACAGACCACCAGATATTTTTCACACCATTTCTACGGAAGAGAAACACAATTTATTTCTCAAATTGAAGGAAGAATACAATGAATTCGCAAACAATGAGACCAATGATGAAAACGAGACTATTTTTACTGAATTTGACGCTTTGAATGACGAGATGTGTTTGAGAGCGAAACGTCCGGCTCTTGTAATGAGTAGTACGAGTTGGACAGAAGACGAAGACTTTGATATATTGTTTAAAGCGCTGGAGCTCTACGACAGCTCCGTTGACGGCTCGGATAATTGGCCACAAATTGTATGCGTTGTCACCGGAAAGGGTCCTCTAAAACAACACTATCAGCAAAAGATTTTGACCAAAAAGTTTAAGTCAATAAAAGTTGTGTTTCCGTGGCTGACGGCACACGACTACCCGAAACTGGTGGCCAGCGCTGACCTCGGCATATGTCTGCACAAGTCATCCAGTGATCTCGATTTGCCAATGAAAGTGGTCGATATGTTTGGCTGTTGTCTACCCGTCTGTGCCTATAAATACAATTGGTTTGTCATTCATTACCATTTTGTTTAGTCAATCAATTAATTGTATTTTCATTTAAAGCATAAATGAATTGGTTTTACACGAAAAGAATGGTTTGCTTTTCAATACAAGCGAAGAATTGTCTCAACAATTAATGCATGTCTTAAAGAATTTTCCCGAAGAAAATGCGAGCTTAAAGTCATTCCGCAATCATTTGAACCAAAACTTTGTGAAACTTCGTTGGAATGAGTGTTGGAATCAAAACGCTTTACCAATATTTTCGTGATATAAATATTAAAGAATTTTATAATTTTGGTTATGATTTATAAGCATTGAATTAAATCGAAATGTGATATAAATATTGCATATATTTTAATTGGGGAAAACCGGAAAACATGATACATTTGGCACAACCCTTCCATTAAATTAATTTAATTCCTTAAAAAATACAATTTATCTCAAAGAATATAAAATTTGTGAAAACAGGGGAACGACTGTTGAGAAGAGCCGCCAATTCTAATGACTTGGAATGCGTTGAAAGGCTTCTCAACGAAGGAATAGATCCGCAATCGTGTGACGAGAGGAGCCGAACAGCACTTCATTTCGCCGCCTGTAAGGGAAACACACAAATCGGTAATTGTTTTCAGACATTAGAGTTAATGGTTTGGCAATTGTGTGAAATATTGTGTCAATATTAACAACAATAGCTCGACTTCTGTTGGATTCGGGCGCAAACCCTAACCAGAAGGACATCGTTGGCAACACAGCCCTGCATTTGGCCGCCTGTACTAACAATATCGAAGTGATTACACTGTTGTTGAGTGCGGGCACAGACGTGCACTCGTTGGACAACTCGGGCCGAACTCCACTACATTTGGCGCAATCGAAGCTCAAAATGATTCAATCGATGCAACGCTCGGACGCTAACAAGTTGAGTTTAGTTAATTTCAGTCTTCACGAAGTTCACAACGTTTACTACAGTTAGATAACCGTAGCCAGCCCTTTCTTGCGGCTTGAGCTTGAGGAGTGGTGAAAATGGTTAGCTAACGTAAATAGACAAACCACTGAAGAGGTTGGGAGAGTAATACCCGTTTTAATACACTTTATGTTTAACTTTTGAATGTTTTACTTATAAAAGGTTGGAATCGATGTGAAGGATCTGTTGACAAGTTTATCGCATCTCACGCTTTAACTTAAGTTTAGTTTACATTTAGTTTTAATTAATTTATATTTTTAATAACTGATGTCAAAATCAAAACCAATTAGAGATTTATTTAATTTTAATCAATTATTAGTTTTAATTTTATTTATCTTTAATAACATATTTTATAATAAATTATATAATTTTTAACCATATTTTGTTTGCGATTACTATTTTAAGTCTCATTATGTAATGAAAATACAATATTTGAAAACTAAAATGAATTTACATTTTAATCAAAACAATTTATAAAAGAAACTTTGGGTCAAAAAAAGGGTTACGGTATTTGCGAAATATTTAATCGTCTGAAAACTTTATTTACAAAATAATTGGAAATTTGAGTGAAAAATGAGAAGAATTTCATACAAACAAAAAAACAAAAACTTTTACAATAAGTCAGTCATAAGTGAGAGGCAGTGATGAAAATCATAACAATAAATGAGACGCTTTTCAATTGATTTCAAATGTAATTTAAAACTTGCGTTGAATTAAATAGATTTACTGAAAGTTAAATACTATGTTGTACTCAATCTAATGAATTTAACCCAAACTTCAATTACACACAATTTATTATTTCAATCCAAAGATCTATTTAACGATAAATTATTAGTCAATCAAATGTGGTGTTTATTCATTCATTGAATAGTTTTAGTTTTTTATTCACAAAATATTTGGAAATTTGAGTGAAAAATATGAAGAATTTTTTACACAAATAAAACAATAAAACTTTTTAATCAGTCATAAGTGAGAGGCAGTGATGAAAATGAGGGAACTCTTTGACTGCAACCACTCTTCACACGACTGATCATTGTTTGAATGTTTTAAACTTCATCCACGGATCGGCCGTCAGTTTGTCGATGTGTTTGCGTTCAGTGGCCAACGGTTTGAGCATTTCTGACAGACATTTCTTGCCCTCTGGAGTGATGGCTGGGATGGCGTCCACGTTCTTCTGGATCTGAGGGCCGATGTCTGCGGAGTTTGCGATGTCATACGGGTATTGCTCTGTGAACATATAGTAAGCGGTGGCGCCGATAGACCAGACATCGGCCACCAATGGGTCGAACTCCTCTTTGGCGGGATCGCCGTACATCTCCGGCGCCTGAAATGTCTGCACATCTGTGGGTCTGCTCGCCAGCGGAAGGCACGCAATGTTTTGGATGTCTTCCTTCTCGGGATTCCAATAGATGGCCGCGAATTCAAAGCCCGACAGTTTGACTCTAAGCTTTTTGTGCGACAATAGGATGTGCTTCGGCTGTATTGACCGATGGCTGACACCGATGTCACCCAAATAGTCGAGTGCTTTGAACAACTGCCACAACCAACGGCCAATCTGGTGCTCATTTTCATAATGGTCTTCCAAATGAGCCATAACTGATCCCTTGTTCGCGAACTCTTGGAATATCAGTATCTGTTTGTTCGGCCCACCGCTGAACACATCCCATGTCTGACAGATGTTCGGATGCTTTTTGCCTAAAGTGCGCAAAATCTTGAGCCAAAGGGAAGTGTTGGCATCGATTCCGTGTTCGCCTTCGTATATCTTGACGGCTAAAGTGCTGTCTTTGAACTCCTGGTGCTGTGCTTTGTATACTTTACAGAGCGCTGACTCTCCGATCGCACCGATTGCATCCATTTGAACGGTATATCGACTGAAGTATCGGTGATTTTTGGGCAGCGATGGCTTCTCTTTGTTGATCCGCTCGACCGATGCCTTCAACAGACCCTTCATATACAACAGCTTTTTGTTGTCGAAACTCGCGTCCGCCACGGCGTCGGTGGGCGCCGCTCCCGGAGCCAGCACTCCATCTTTACCGACACCTTTGCCACCGGCGGCCCCTCCGGCAGCACTTCCGGCCGCACCACCGCCTGCACCGCCCGCTCCACCGCCTCCTTTACCACCGGCCGCACCACCGCCTGCACCACCCGCTCCACCGCCTCCTTTACCACCGGCCGCACCACCGGCTCCGCCACCGCCNAAATTGAAATAAAATATAATTCAAACCTAATATTGAATCTATCCTTCAAATCCTTTTTCATGGCATTTGTGACACAAAAATTGAAATCAGATTTAGTGCCAAAATAAGTCTCAAACCATTTGCAAATCTTGACCAAAATGTGATTCACGCCGAGAGTTAACCCAAGTATTGTAAAGCCATAGTTATGCCAATCGATCACAAATACTGATCCTCTGAGTCGGCATACAATCCACACAATGGCTAAAGTCGGCAGAGAAGGCGGGTTCTGATCACAGTTTTAATCACATTTATTAGCACTTAATTCAATTGGAGATAACATATGGTTAGACAACACCTGAACTAAAATATAGTCATGTTTTGGCAACGAAATCAACCAAAAGAAGAGTACAAACGATTGCCACAAAACTTTCAGAAAGTAGACCAGAATTGACGGCAAAACTAATTTTCACATTAAATTAAAAAGTAATTAAAAGTCGAGGAATTGAATCCAGAATTTGTTTATACCATAAATACATTGCGGCGTTTGTCTCATAAAATGACACAAAATCCTATCGTTATTCACAACCAATTCATGTGGTTTTGATCCTTAAGAGTAGACAATTAAAACATGAGATGCAATGTTAGTGACAATTATGACAAACTAATGGCAATCTTAGCGAACCTTCAAATCCAATCAAATCGACCGCAAAGTGATTGGAGAGAGAGATAGAGTGGTATTGCATTCGAGGACTTCTTCCGATGTCTCCCAACACCACAACACAGACACGTCTGTCGGCTCCCGAAGACATCGCTTCAATCAATCAATTGATCCCAAATACAAGACACGAATCCAAATCATATGATGAGTTGTTTAAAAAAAAGTTTTGTTGTATTGTTTTTAAGACAATATATGACAACAATTACGACAATATTTACCACAAAAACGAGACATCAATTGGTTTTGAATGTAAACAACGATTGAATGAACGCATCGACTGATGGCTCACAACAAGTGGTGATGTCTTCACCGATGGTGTGATGTCTGGGGAGGACTCGGGTGTCGACGCCGGCAGTAATGCCTCCGACGACAGCATTGGTATGTCTTTGGCCTCATCTGACAGCGACTACGACAGGGATAACGACTTCAACCACAACCTCAACAATAATAATAACGATAATGAAGACATCGTTGTCATTGATGTCAACATTAATCCAGTCATTGATAATAACAACGGAAACAATGCCAACGATTCCGGCGATAATTGTCCTCAAAATGTATGTAGAGTTTGATTGTATTGAAGACATTCATTGACCACTCATTTGTCACCGAAAATAGGATTTCGAGCAAAACTGTTGCGAAACCCGAATGTATTCAATGCCCACCTCTTCCATGGCATCCATGGTCTCGATGGCCACCACCTCCTCCTCTGCCTCTCAATCGTTGATGTCTTTGCCATCGAGTAGTTCTCACTGCCATTACGATAGTCTGTGTTCGACCTCTACTTCCGGGTCTAACCGACTGTTCAATGCGTTTGACAATCGGTTGGACCACAACTTTGAGACAAAACCGGACACCGATTTGATTGGTGTACCAAATGATTACCACTACAAGAGTGAAGAACAGCACGAGTTTTGTCCCAAAATGAGATCAATTCGACAAAAGACTCACGAAATGAAAAGAAAACATATGTCTAAAGACATGGCAGGTGTGGACCACAAACAGACATATCATGTGTTGTTTTATTGATTACTGAATTATTATTTGTGAAAACAGGGGAACGACTGTTGAGAAGAGCCGCCAATTCTAATGACTTGGAATGCGTTGAAAGGCTTCTCAACGAAGGAATAGATCCGCAATCGTGTGACGAGAGGAGCCGAACAGCACTTAACCTGTTGCACAGGTTGGCTGTTTGGTGTACTGGAGACGGGAGAAGGGGGTCTATTCCCGTGTGAATACGTGGTGCCCCTCAACAGCCAGGAAGTGGTGAAGATTTCGCAAAGAATGGTAAAAAATAAGCATTTTTTGTGATTTTGTACATTTTTGTGAAAATCTTTTATGCATAACATTTTAACCGACAAAAAATGTTTTGCTCTGTTTGTAAGGATGAGGTGAGAGGCGTAATGAATGGTCACACGAATGGTTTGAGTTCCCCTCATAACGATATCAATGATAAACAGGACCTCAAGTCTAATGACGATAACTCCCTTCGCGAAGACACCTCTCTATGGGTTGAGAGTAAAAATGTATGATTTGTTTTGTTTTGTCTGAAATAATGTTTTTAAGCATGTTTTAAGTTCGACTAAACGTGATATAAATGTGTTTTCTATAATTCCCATGAAATGAGTTGTGAAATAAATATTGAACTAAACGTTAAATTATAGGAACAGTTCGACGACTCGAAGAGCGATATAACACAAGTCTCGCAACTAAATGACGGAAAGTTTTCATTACTTCAGTTCGCGTTATTTAACTTCAGAGAGAGTGTTAATAAGTGAGAAGTTTGTCACAAATGTTTTGCTTTTCATTCATAACTAAAACGAATAATATTTTGCGTTAAGATATGACTTGCGATCAAAAGACGGCTCAATTAGAGGATCAATAAAATTGATTGAAAGCATTAAATCAAAGAAGAAGAATAAGAAGGGAAAGGGAAGCGATCCGACAGAATGGACGTGGAGTGAGATTTCCACTCTCGTTAAGTACTCAAAAGTGAGTTTACCATTCATTTAGTGATTCAATTAATTTAGTGATTCCTGAATGCAATGTAATTAATTCCTAAACATGTTTTTGTGCCAAAAGACCGCACTTCAGAATTCACTGCTTCTGTTATCACCGGAACTCAATAAGATAGCCATCGAGTGTTTCGTCGGTAAGTGTTTTGTTTAATTCATTTCAATTCAATGGTATAATCATTATTATATCATTAATAATCAGCGATTATGCGATATATGGGAGACTCAGCTATGGTTAAGAACCAAACGGAAGTCAATTGTGTTTATAATATACTTTTGGTATGTCTTCACATTCGTGCAATTCATAAGAATTGTTTGAGTTTTAAAATTATATTTGTATTCATTACAGAATTGTCACAAATATCCACAAATTAGAGATGAAGTCTATTGTCAGCTAATGAAACAAACGACAAGCAATAAAAGTGCCAAATTGTAAGCAAATTACACATTCATTTGCATTAAGTTTACATTTGAATACATTATATAAGTGTCACAAATGTGTTACGAAAAAAACACATAACTTTACACTTAATTGATGTTATAATTAGAGTGTTTCTAATGTGAGTTCTGTGTTCTTGTGGACCCAATATAGTGATAGTTGTCAAAGAGGTTGGCGTCTCTTTTCAATACTGGCCGCGTATTTCGACTGTTCAGAACTGTTGAGACCCTATTTATTCAAATACTTAGAAACGGCCGCTTTTGACAAGAGAAGGGCCTTTCACTTAACGGCAGACGTTTGCCTCAAGAATCTGCGGAAGACATTCAAATACGGCGGCCGTAAGAATGTGCCCTCCATTGAAGAGATCGCCGCCATATCTGCCGGAAGAAACTCTAAGCGCCAGATGTATCGTTTGCCGGGAGGAACCGAACGCATCATTAATACCGCCTCTTCTACTGTTGTCAACGATGTTATCGAAGAGATCTGTCAAATGCTTAACATTGAAAACCCTATCGAAATGGAAGAGTTCTCCCTCTACTGTATCATCGAAGGAGGTCTGCGATCACTCTTTCCATATTTTAATTCAGTTTAAATGACTAACAAATTATGAAATTCTTGTGATGTCTCTATATATTCAGATCCGTTTACAATGCCATTAAATAAAGATGAATACATTCTGGACGTGACCACAGATCTGATTAAAAACGGACAATTATTTTACCTCATTTTCTGCCGATCCGTTTGGTACTATCCGTTACGGCTGGACAGTCACCTCTACATCGAAGTGATCTTCAATCAGGTCGCGCCCGACTATCTCGAAGGCCTACTTCTTGTGGTGCCCGAAGACAAACTGCCCGACGATGTGGTGCCACAGATCGCACGAATCGCGTCACTACTGCACAGAGCGGCGGACATGGAAGCGATGCCCACCAAAGATGAAGTCAAGTATTTGTTGCCAAAGCCGGTGTTAGCCATGAAAGTGATTCGACCGCCGCAATGGGTCGAAATGGTTCAGAACAACTGGAACGACATGTCGGCCCTCAACACCACTGAAGCAAAAGCTCAATGTTTAGATATACTGCAAAAGTGGCCACTATTTGGTTCGTGCTTTTTCGCCGTTAAAAGGATTCAAAATGATGTGTCCACTCAACCGCCCGACCATATACTCGCCCTCAATAGAGAAGGCGTCTACTTCTTAGATATCGCCACACATGTAAACAATTCATTGCCATTCATATCATTATAAACATAGAATTAATGTTCTTATAAATTGGTGATAATTTTAGGAAACTCTTTGGAAGTATCCGTTCTCTGAAGTTATATCCACGCGAAAGGTTAGGGCAGAAGACGGCACACTATTCCTGGACATGAAGTGCGGAAACCTTATGGTTCAGAAGATTTCACGAATACAAACGGATCAGGTATTGAATAAATCAATTTACTTCTCATTACTTAACACTAAAATCTCGTATCCATTGATATTCTTAAGGCCCACGAAATCTCACGACTCATTCGGCAATACATTGAAATCGAGCAGCACTTCAAGAGTAACAAAGAGAATGGCAATCATTTGCAATAATTGATATCATCTTTCAATCATTTTAGCAATTATTAGCAATACTTACAAATATTTTTTATATTTTAATATACATTCATTATTATAAGTCATTTATAATTTTAAAAATGTTTTATATATTTATATTCTTTGAGATAAATTGTATTTTTTAAGGAATTAAATTAATTTAATGGAAGGGTTGTGCCAAATGTATCATGTTTTCCGGTTTTCCCCAATTAAAATATATGCAATATTTATATCACATTTCGATTTAATTCAATGCTTATAAATCATAACCAAAATTATAAAATTATTTAATATTTATATCACGAAAATATTGGTAAAGCGTTTTGATTCCAACACTCATTCCAACGAAGTTTCACAAAGTTTTGGTTCAAATGATTGCG